TAATTCCAGTGACGCCAGGTTATAGAGGCTAGAGACACAGAATAAAGGAAGCCACACCCACAGAGTAGGTTCCAATTTTTTTTTGAAACCCACCACTGGTAGAGGGTAAAGAGAATGACATTGATGGGAAGAAGGACGATCTGCTATCAAAGCAGCAAGTAGATGTACATTGCTTAAGCCCAAATGAGAAGAGAGAAATATGAAAATGTCTTAAACAGGGACCCCCCCTCCAATTTTAAATTAATGCAAAATGTAAAGAATAAAGAAAGGAAGCCCAGTCATACTTGCAAGATTCTGTTAACTACTGCCAATGTTAATAAAAGTAGTTTTAGGCCCGTGTGGAGCTTGTTGATCTGATCTAACCCATAGGGTGGGGGAAACCATCTTCTACCATCTAAAAAGTCTGGTATCTCTGAGCATTTTGTTCCCACCAGTTCTGCTCCTTGCTGCTTGTCTGACCTAGTCAGAAATATTGCTTGGTGTAGATTTCAACTTATGCAAAAACCAGCTTAGGTAATATATCTACCGGCTTACTTAGACTTTAAGGAAATGCCTGGGACGTTCTATTTGCAACGCCTACTTTTTGTTTTCATTTGTAGCATTTTTTTTTATGTCACAAAAGATTAACCATGTTTATTCTGTGTCTCTAGCCTCTATAACCTGGCGTCACTGGAATTAAGGGAGAATCTATTAACGTATTTACCTGAGTAAGTATTTTCTCTGTTTGTCTTGAATGCATGGACAGCATGAATTGAGAACCTTTTGTTCCCAGGATATGGAAATGGAATTAAAGAACAGAATAAATTTTCCAGCAGGAAATGGATATTACTGAAGAGTAATGTCTTTATTTCATCATGGAGAAAATCTGTGTGGTTTGTTAGGCGTCAAAAATGACCTGATGACACAAAATCAATCAATCAATGTCTTTATTAACACTCATTGATGTAATGCTGGGAAAATCTAGACAACCCATGTCCTCTTGGGTCATTCTTTCCTTACCAGATTCCTCAGTAGCTTCAACAATAGCAGAGCTTCTAATGCATTTGAAAAGCCCTTGGAAATTCAGAGAGATATTCAGAGATGTATCTGCCTTGAAAATACATTCATCTGTACAGCACAGTCAAGCATCAGGAGTTGATCACAGGAAATAATTTTTGACGTTTTGGTTATGTCATAAAATACTTTAGGATAATGTTATGTCATAATATGTTTTATAAAGTTTCCTGAATGTCAGCTCCATGAGAGTCAGTCATGGGTCCTAGATTTTGGCTGCTTTCTGTAAGTTAGCCCATTTGATTGAAGTACCTTGGTTCAAGAGATTTTGCCCTACGAGGCACCATTTCTCCCAATTAAAGGTTATGGACATGAGTGTGTCAGACCTGCAGCGGTTCCTTTAAGAATCTTTGGCCTGCCACACNAAATGAGGACCCAGACTGTGGGGGCGATAGGCTGACTTTGTAAACCGCTTAGAGAGGGCTGAAAGCCCTATGAAGCGGTATATAAGTCTAACTGCGATTGCTATTGCTATTAAGCCAAAATCGCTAAGTTAGATTTTATTAGCAAGTTGCAATTACTGTGTCAAAAGTTTAGAATTCAAGTTTGCACATTATGAAACTAATATGTTTGCTAATACTTAGCCAATAGCTGAAAGACGTGCGCTGTGACAGATAAACTCAATTTTCTTTTCTTTTATACTTCACTAACTACAATACTATCATTCCCACCCCTGTGTTTACACATCTGCCAAGTAAGGCAAAATTTTGTCACCTGACAAATGTGGTTCTAGCATATGGCCGTTCTGTTAAGTTCTCTGGAGCTTTTTACAAATGATTACTGTGGCATTTTTCCCCCCTAGAATCCATTACCAAGGCAAAGGCAGCTATGTTTTAGAAAATGCGGATATATTGCTATTTTTATTTTGAAATTGAAGGATTAAAACAGATTATAGCATTGGGGAAAATATCCAATTCTTTGTGCTCCATTTAGTCCTAAATAAAGCTCAGAGAGGGAAAATGTTACTATGGTGATATAGACTTTTACTGTATTATGAAGAGGTGACAATGAAAAACTTAGCCGTATAAGGTCATTTACAGTGAGAACTTCATTATGAAATGCTATGAATAGGATCCTTTTAATTGATCCTTCTATGACTAATCCCTTAAATCTTAACGATCAAGCCAATAAATAAAATTACTGTACATTCAGAAATGAGGACCCAGACTGTGGGGGCGATATGCTGACTCTGTAAACTGCTTAGAGAAGGCTGAAAGCCCTATGGAGCGGTATATAAGTCTAACTGCTATTGCTATTGAATAAAGAAAATGGTGCACTTACAAGGAGTGTAGTGATTTGGCCTCCTTCATGACAGGTAAGGCACTTGGAGGGATGCCTAGTGGCACTGCCCCACTCCTGATCTGTAGAGGGCAGAGGTGGGTTCCTACCAGTTCGCACCTATTCGGTAGAACCGGTTCGTCAAATCTACCAAACCGGTTAGAAGAGGTTCCACCAGTGGACCCGGAAAGCAGGCCACACCTAAAGAAGAGGTTCAATTTTTTTTTTGAACCCCGCCACTGGTC